TATTGAAAAATTTAAGAAAAAAAAGTACATGTGAACCAGACTACTGCAGTAGTATATACATGCCTAACACGCAAAAGCAACGACCGATGGTAAACAAATTTGATTTATTTCATGCGCGCGCATAGTGCATACTTCTAAATTAAAATTATTACTACAATTTTGAGCAGATTTTGCTACCAATTATTTCGCAACGCCAAACAATTTGTAACGGAATTTCCCATCAGTATGTTATTAAAATCCTTGTAATGATACTTTGTACAATGTTTCTTTAAGTTTAATAAAGACCTCGTGGTTATTTTCTACACATTATATTTGATTTCTTACTTTGACGTAAATGAATAATTTTACCATCGTAAGAGTATAAAAAGTCAAACAATATTAATTGTTTATAACTACAACAATTTTACTGCAAAGGTTTATAGTACTTTCACATGTATTATGTGACAATGAATTACAAAATTCGATGAAGGCCACTACAATTTTCATCGAACAATGTTATAGCAAAATAGTTAACGCATTTTCTCTCCGTGTAGTCCAGGAGCTGTCTAGCAAACAGAAAAGATTTGTATGTATACATAATTTGACTTCAACTTCGACTTAGGTATTCAAGGAACAAAACAGGAATAAACACAATGCAACGGAATTTAAAAAATAGTTGTGAGAACAGTAATTAGAAGTTTGTTGGACAAATAAAACAATCAATTTAAACTATATTTTAAGAGCATATAAGTAATCTTAAATATGGAGGAACGTAAATTGTTGTGTTTTATTTTAATATCGTTTTATTAATATTTATTGCAAAAACTCAAAATAGTAACTTTAATGATCAATTTTATAAAATAAGTAATACGGCAAGACGTGTGATATACATATACCATGCTGCAGAACAAGATAAAATCCTGCTTAACTACTGAGAACGCTCACGGACATGGAGAGGCACGCCAAGCCACGCGTCGGGCTTCATACCAAGTTTCTAGAAACAAACTAAGGAATGTGCTAGGTGACTACACATACATATTTAAAAAATTGTCAAAATTTAACATTTTGTATCTCGGAAATGGTGGCCTTTAAAACATTAATTAGGCCTTTTCTTCGACACGAAATCTACTGTTTCAATTATTCCATTCATTTCGGGGACATCCTGTATAGCTTATTTACTATCAATTAAGATTTGTAGATACTGTTTTAAAATAGTGAATACAGTGTAATTATATGTAGTTTTCTTTCGAAACATCCATTTCTAACTTTTAATCTAAAATAATTCTCACTTTTTGATTTAAAAATATGTTATATGTTTTAGGTATGCACCATGTCATTAATATTTACCTGTTTTATTAGCAAAGCAAATAATCTTTTAGAAAGTAAGTAATAATTAGAACCTGTTGCGTTAATGGAATTCAGTACTGAACTATTTCAGATCATATTTAAAAATAGCAAACTTTTTCGTTACTACCATGGTAATTAATTATTAATTTATAATTAAAATGTTACTGGGTTAGTTAACTCATGTAGAATTTAAAAATATGCACTGAATTATACATATTTTTTATTATAAACAATATCCTTTTAACAGGGATACTTTTGAAATGTAAATATCTGAACTGACCTTAGTGTATGTATGTATCTACTATTTGTTTAAAACCTAACATTTGAAATTTTTGAGTTTTATAGAGTACATATAACCTATTAATATTAAAATCTCCTACAACTATAATATCTTTGAAATTGTCTTTATTTTCTAACCAATCAATAAACTCATGTGTGTGATTTTCATTTGGAGAATGATACACAATGAAAATTATAAATAACTTATTTTTCACTTTTAACTTAAGGGCAAGATATTAAATATGATTTGAACGAAACAACTACTCAGCGGGTAAATACCCCGACCTGCATTGAATTATACCTTCAAATCAAGATCGGTAGCCAATATCATTTGTCAATTCCTAACTTATTAGTTCTCCTCAATATGCCATAGATTATGAAACAGACAAATGATAGTGGCCAACCTGCTACTCATATACTGACTAAAGTAAATTGAGTAGTGGTGAGAGGTATGTGAAACTTCTCATATGGTCCAAATGCTACTATCCGACCGACATCATAGATGTCTCTGTGGCGGATAGCGACTTGCGAAGCAAGTTCCGAGAGCGGCGACCTCTAGCCCAGATGGACTAAACTACTGTTATTAAGTGATTTGAATGAAAAAACTACTCAGCGGGCAATTACCCTAACCTGCATTGGATTATACCTTCAAATTATGATGAGAAAATCATATGGTTAATGTGCTAAAGATAGCATATATTGAAGACACCTGCTGTAAATTAAAACAATTGTTAGTGTCCTTTTTATTGATTTATTATCAAAAAGAAAAATAATTTAAAATAACACATATTTTAATTTTTCCCCTCTGCCTTTTTTGACAGAAAAAATACTCTGTAGGATAGTTTGGTTAAGGTCATCTAATATTTCTGCATCTTCAATTTTTTTTCCTTTTTTCTGCAACCAATCTGCAAAAACAACCGTAACAATTTACTTTATCTATTCTTAACGTCTAAACTTAGGAATTATGATAGGTAGTATTTTAAAAATGTATGATATAAAGTAAAATACTGTAAATAAAAGTGACTGATATGTAATGGCGGTTGGTGAAATTCAGGTTATAGCATATCCTAGTATTGAAGCATGGGACCTAAGCGATACTTTAAGGCACAACTATCAAAGTTAAATGAAGAAGTTTTGCAGAGAAATAATGGCGATTGCAATTTGCAAACATTGTGTCGTGTAATTTTTTAGATAATATGTAAAACACTTGTAAAACATTTTTCTTTTTTTCAGAATCAGGTGGACAAAATATTTCGGCAGATTTGAAAATTCAAAAAAAAAGATTACTTTTTTATAAAGTTACACCTTTTTGAAATTTCCACGGTGAAATTGATGATTCTAAAATAAAATCTCAAAACGGTGTAACTTTATAAAGTAGCAATACTTTTTTAATGAAATTATAAATCTGTCGACATATTTTTCACCTGATTCTAAAAAAAATTTGTTACAAATTGTCTAAAAAAATAACTCATGGGTACACAGTTTTTGCAACTTTTCTTCGCAATTTTTTTCTATAGAGCATCTGCTGCACATAACCTTATGGGCGTGGCTAACTTGCTTAGAGGTAAAACAAAGCAGAGGCCACAACCTCAAATGCTATTTAGTTACATACTATAGTTTGGTGACTGATTGAAGTATTTTATTGTGAACGTATTCCTGTGGTTGCTGTGTAAGAAAATGTGGTTTTGATCATATATGTATAGTGATTATTATCATACGCCAATTGATTATATTTTTTTATGATTATCATAGACTGATGGAATTCTATGAAAACTGACACTGCCTCTTGCCATGTTACTTCCACAACACACCACCGTACAAAAACTTAGCTTGGTGTATTTTAATTAAAAATATAAGGATATATAAATTGAAAAAGTTATTAAATAAGTACAATGGTATTCATATATTATAAGGAACTGAAGTGAGGTTATGATTCGTTATTTGATTATCCTCCAGGCAACGACCTTGAAAAACGTGACGTTATGTGCAGATGAACTATAGAGAACTTCTTTTAGTTTTAATAGTTATTCCTTAAAATATTGGATCTTATGCTCCAATACAAAGATATGTCATAACCTAAATTTCACCAATCGCCATTCGTGGTGAATAGGGTATTAAATAGACCAATTCACTGCGTTACAAATTGAACGAAAAATCGAGTACCCTCTTCAAATTATTGTGTTTATTTTATGAAATTTTTGTCTTATTAAGAATACATAGTGTTTGTTTTTCTCTCACGTCCCATTTTTCAGGTGCAGTTAACAGCAAAAAATAAAATAATAAAACTAATTTAAATGTATTGATAACAACTTTCTTAAATTTTTTAAAAAATAATTACAATAAAGTTAACAAAATTATTTTTTTCAATAGTAAGATTAAAATTAAAATAAAAAAAGAAAACTGATCTTGACAAAAATTAAGTAATATTTTATTTTTTTCTCTTATATGAAGAAGAATTCTCTCTCTTTAGATGTCAACAGTAATCGCCTAACATAGCTGAACTTCAACGACCTTGAAACCGCTCCTAAAGCCTCCTCACATTCTGGTGGAACTGCTCGCCCTGTTCATCGCTCACGGCTCCAAGATTGGAGGGGAAAAATCAAAATACGATTCAATATCTCTTATATATCCTCGCCAGGTCTTCTAGACACTTCGAGATTTATTTCAGAAGTTTCTTGACGTTTCTACATGTTCTAGATAATTCCGTTCCACTTCTAGAGATTCTTCAAAAATCGTCACATGATCTCGGTACGATAGGCGTCTCATAAGGGGGTGTAATAGGTGATTTATCTTCATGAATATTGGTGGAGGTGATCCAAATAAGGCTATCTACTCCGTATTTGGAGAGTCATCCTCAAAAACATGACGTGAAAGAAACATTTGGTGTTCAGCCCCTACCTTCTATTAGTGCTAGCAAACTTTAAAGCTACCAGTTCTTTGGGTACAAGAATCGTGTCACGCAGTACAGCCGATTCTCTTCACCCATAACTGTTTACTACTTCTACTCTACTACAATAACAATAGACCGACAGAGTAAAAATTGGACTTTAGTCACACGAAGCATATTTACTCTTATACAAATTGTGATGGCGTCCCTTAGCTCAGATATAACTTAATACGCTGATGTTAAACTGAATCTGATTATTAGTTACTTACTGTCCAAATAATCTATGAGGCATTTGTTGTGGTGACTCCTGTCCAGGTTTTTCCGAGAGCTTTTTTAAACTATTAGAGTATTTAGCACACCACTTATTTTCTCCTTTCCATATTTCTTTTTCTTTTTCTTTTTTTTTGAGCTCTGGTCTCCATCACTCCTCGATGGTGTTATTCATGTTGACGAAACACAAGATCAGCCTCTAGACTGTGTTTAAGAAGAAAATGGAGATAACATTTCCACCTGGGGTATGGTGGCCGAGTGGGTAAAGGCTGTTTACTTGGAACCAAAGGTTGATGGTTCGATTCCATCCCGGGGCAAGTTAGAAATTTTATTTGTAATTTATTTCGGACTAAGATATTAGAGGGAATTTTCAGCGCCCTAGACGTGGTTCGGACTTCATAATAAACTGTAGGGTCTCGTCTTTCTTTACCCAACACAAAGTCCTAGGATTTTCCGGGGGTTATTTCGGTGACTTGAAAGGCCGTTAAGAAAACATTTTTTTAAACCTCTACATACAACCTCTTTAGACCACGCCCTTCCCACAAAAAGGAGGCCACGCCCATGATATAAAAGGGGCACCAAAATTCAAAATTTTTCACCTTTTCCTTTTTGTTCGGTTTTTATTTTCCTAATTCCCCACAAAATTTATTCCAAATTAATAAAAACCCAATAGTAAATTGCGGGACATTATTATTATACAGGGTGTCTCACAATTCAGTACCTTCCTTCAAGGAGATGCAGAATTAGAAAAAATAAGTTGAGTTGTGTATCTAAACATTTGCCTTAAATCAGTTCATAAGGGAGATACAACCCCTTAAAGGGGTAAGTACAACATAGTTATTTGCCAATCAATTCGAAATGTCTTAAGTTGCAAAAATTAAATTTGGACCATTTGTTAATTTCATAATGTTACATGTTTTGTCAAATTTTTATCTAAATATCATGATTTGTTGGGGGTAGTTACAGGGAGGTGAGGGTGAGTTTTCGCTATTTTTTTCTTATTATTTTCTAAATATTTAAAACGGAAAAAGGTAACGGTGTTAAAAACTGATTGTTTTATAGAGCAATTTAAAATATCGCTTACGCAATGAAGCATGTAATTTAACAAATGTTCACTAATAATCAATTTATTTTTTTATTCTTGGCATCTTCTGAACTTAAGATACAAACTTAAAATAATAGTAATTAGAAAATTATTTTAAATAAAAAAAAATTTTTTGTCCTTAAATTATATGCCTCATTGCGTAAAGCGATATTTTAAATTGCTCTACAAAACAATATTTAAAAATACTTTGGAATTATTTTTGTAGAGGTATGTAGTTACCTTCCATTATAGTATACCTGTTCTGTATTGCAATATTAAAATATGAATAACTTTTGGAGTTATTTTTATTTTAAGATTGATGGCCACTTATTTTTTCTAGTTCTATCACCCCTTGAAGGAAGCTATTTAATTATGGGACACTGTATACAAAAATATCAAATATACTCCAAAAATAAGCGGAGCTGTACATTTCCGTTTCCAACAAACCATTATTTAAAGGCTAGATTTTACGTAGCAGATTGGCTCGTCGATGCTTCCTCGAAATTCTAATTTTATATACACAAAAATTTACAATATACATTTTTATTTTTTGCACCGTTTAAAAGTTTTTTACATCAACGGCGCATGCTTTTGCATGTTAAAATTATGTTATACAATTTAAAATGTTTTTAGTTGTTGTATTTTAGTTAATGTTTTTAGTTTTAAGCCCGGACCGGGCCCGCTCTGACCGACCTAACAACTGCCCCGTTGCCACCATACACGGAGATGCTATGCCACGGACCGGGTGTCCGGCGAGGTCAGTATATATTGTGTTTTTGCTTTTAATTTTTAATAAATTATTTTGAGTGAATTTAATTGGAGTCCCAGGTTCGATCCCCAGTCGTGGAGCTAGAATTTTTTCTAAACCAGATATTAATCCTAGCATACTTGGACATTGGGCGTGTGTCCATTGTCTCTAAATGTGTAGCCCTCTCCTACACAAGGTACATTGTGGTACCTTCAGGGATTCAGGGGGGATGTATGTGGTGTGGTGTTTAATTATTGTGTTATGAGCTAACAAAATTTGTAAATAAAAAACTTCACCTATCCATTTGTATTTACCTCTCGATCATGCTCCTTTTCCTCAAACTCCTGCGATTCTTGAGTTTCAATATTATGGCTGTTGCTAGGTGGTACTGGCATGTTTGATTCGCCATGGGCAACTACAGCAGTTCCTTGTTGTAGGAACAGATCGAAGCACCACAATTTGGGCTTGTATATTTGATCTATGGTTGCTCCAGATGCCTAATTTTTTTTTGAATTTTTACAATTCTGCCAAATACTGTGTCCTAATGTCATGGATTTTTTTATCTTATCTGCCGTTAAGTTTATTAATTTTCTCCTATTAAATTCTGTAGCTAATTGTTGTAGAGCTTTATTTCTTATGTTTCTATTGGGATAGTCAGGCCGGGCAGGCAAATACAAACATGGGTGCTCCTTATATAGTTGGGTTAGTATAGTAGTTGCCTCCCTAGGCCACTCAAAACTACTCGCACCTAGTTATATTTCACCCAATAAGTTCAGTCTCTTAACGAAACTGATAACTTTATTGGGTGAGAATGTGTCCAGATCTTCTGGCAGTAGTTGCCCTTTGCCAAATATTGAGAATCGGATCCTCTTCACAGCGGGACAGGTACATAGGATGTGGTCTGCCTTCTCATCATCTTCCAAGCATAGACGGCACTGGGCGTTTTCCGCTAGGCCGAGTTTATGCAGATGATAGTTTAGTCGGCAGTGCCCGGTATATAGGCTTGTTAGAATTTTCGGGTTTACCCTGTTTAACTATAAAGGTTTCTTAGCTCTTAGTTTCAAAGGGTATTTTATAAACGCCTTCGAATAAACTAATCCTGGTAACTCTTGCCAATACTGGAGTGTTTTCTGAGTTGTATCTGATGTGTAACAACTGAGGACCGTGAGTAAATGACGTAAAAACCAAGAGCTGATTCAGAACACTGCGTTGATATACACATATAAAGATATGAAAAATTATATATTACCTTTTTTTATAGCGACATCGACTACTCAGGTCATTAGTCGCATATATTACCTATTAATTGGCGATTTTGCAGTATCGAAAATAACAGGAGCATTAAATATTTCACTGAACACACAACACTGCACACTAGTAATTTCTATAGAAAGATCGAATAGATGATAAATATGTGAAGTATAAACCGACCAAATCAAAAAATCGTTGTAACTCGTGAAAGGATATAAATATCGAAAAAATAAATAAAAAAACATCCCCTCAGACCGCCTGTCGACTTTAGTAGCCTACTGTAGACTTTGGTAGCCTACTGTCCTGTGTAAAAATTTCAGTCCCTTTGGACGAAAAACAAAAAAAGTTGAAAAATTTCTTTACAAAATCGAATAGATGTGAATGAAAAGTGAAAACTGACAAAACCAAAAATTTCCTTATAACTCGTGAAGGGATGTAGATATGGAAAAAATAAATGAAAAGCACCCCCACGTGCCCTATGTCGACTTTGGCAGCCCACTATTCTATGCAAAAGTTTCGTCACTCGAAAAACAAAAAAGTTTTTAAAAAAATTCTTTAAAAATCGAGTAGATTTTTGTTAGGTGCACATTAAACGTCTGTTGAGTGTGTGAAGTAGAGTGCGTCGTTTGCATTTAATTTGTGAAACACCCTCTTTACATCATCAAAATGAGTATAATAATAGCCTAGAGCCTATAACCATGTGCACCAACGCGTTACAACATGCTGTGGTGTAAATGACGTATTCGGCAGTTCGATTTCTAATAATTTTCTTCTAGACGGTGCTTCTGAAAATGTCTTTTTCACGCTAGCTATTGTGGGATATCAGGCTCTAATAGTTTCTGCAATGCGATGGAGTCCGTGTGCTAAATATGTTACATGTAATCAATTTACATAATCGTGTTTTAAGCGCACTGCAGATGCTTTCATATGGGAAGCTGCGTCTGTTACATAGTACGTTCTTGCTCTTGTTCTCCATGTCGGCGTTCTATATTTTTCTTCGAGGGAAAAATAGCAAGCACCATTTTGGGGGTTATCTGCAGGAAGTGATATTGCCGCAAATGGTTAACTAACGCAGCTGTTCTGACGACCCGTATAACGAATTCGAGCGCCGCGGCCACAGTGAAAGGGTTAAAATTGTGCTTCTGCAAAAACATATATTTTTCACCATGTTGTATATACCTATGTACAATACAATGTATATACAAACCTGGAATCTACTATTTACTTAGGATTTTTAGTAACAACCAATGTATTTAAACAAATAACCACATTTGTTATAAATCTGTATATCATTTAAAAACTGTTAAATTTTTCCGTTCTTTGGTAATGTTATCATCAATTGAAAACTTTTAAGAACGCTTCCAGTTTTCTTGCTGGATATCTAGAGAAAATGCCGCCTAATGCTATAGATAAAACCTCGGTAGCAGATTGGGAGTGCAAACCATAAAGGTAAACAATTCGTGTAATTTGATAGGTATTTATGGATAACAATTACGAAACCTCTGTTCGTTATGTGGAATGTTGATTAGCTGGAACTTGGGAGTGTTTTGATATTGTATTATGTACATGATAATATTGCTATCTCTCTCCTACACTAGGAACGCCGCGATAAACCAAACCACACATTCAAAGCGAGAAAACATAAATGTGTATGTTTTAAATTAGTCTTTGCCTAAAGGAAGGAAAGCTGTATATATACTGTACGTGATATTTTTGTAAAAGTTTTTATTTATAATGTGAGTAAGGTCTAGGTACAAAACACGCAGAACATTTTTAAACAATACAATTATAAATAATGGTCTATTGTGATTAAATAATAAAAGCATTGAGATATCGATATTAATTATACAACAAACACATGCTAGGACATGTCATCTTTGCATAACTAACTAATAAGTAATCACTTTTACGGTCATGCATAAGGTATTAGAGACATAAATGACAGGAAGCCTTGGTGTAATTTAACGATGAAGGCATATAGTTTACAGTGATATAAAAGTAAACACACCTCAGTAACATTTCTTACCAGTGGACATTTTATTCAAAGATATAAGTAGTATAGTAAAATAATCTTATCTCCAAACCACAACGATCATATTTTCATAATTTTATCACTATGCGCAAGTTACATATGAAATTTAAAACCTATTTTTCTCCTTTTGTTACTATAACAAAATATGTATAAATACTACAAAAGTACATTTCAATGGCCCGTGCATCCTAGTTTTTGAATA